CTGACCCTCTCCGAGGGGGATTCAAACCTTCGCGAGGTTTGCGCTGCAGAAGCCCTCTCGCCCCACACGCTCTCGGAAACGCATCCCCGGGCTGAAGCAGCCCTGCAGCACAGAGACGGCGACACGAACGGACGCCGCTCGCTTGTTCACACCTTGAGCGGACACAGAGCACCGTGCTGAGGCAGAAGTGCAGCAGCCAGCCTTCCTCTGCCTGCTGAGCACTGATCCGAAGTGAAAAAGAGCATCTTTAATTTTGCTATAGGAGGGGAAACAACCGCCCGTGTTCCTACCCGCTCCTCGGAAGGGAAATCGCATCCCCTTTGCCAGGTGCGTGGTGCCAAGCCCGGCAGGACCCGGGATGACCACTTGTTCTGGTGCTGCTCACAGAGGTGTGAATGCTGCCTCAGCGAGCAGGGTACCCTCCTGGGCTGAGTCGCAGCTCAGCAAAATGAGCACACGGGGAAATACTCCCAGCAGGAAAACCACAACCAGGACCCCCAGGGTCCAGTGCAGCCCCTCGGGACAGTCACACTGTGCTGCCCAGGCTCTGCACTGAGCGGCCGAGGTGTGAGGCAGCTCCTGCTCCTTTCCTTTGGGATGGGGCTGGGTTGAGGGCTGCGGGATCTGGCCTGATGTTAATAACTGGCCTCAACACAGGGCGCTGCAAGAGCCATTGTGTTTCTGCCAGCACCAGTTGCTACATCAGCTCAGATATTTAATAGCCAAATGAATGAGCGAACGGAAGTCTGAATGCTTCCATGCCAGCCATTTAAGGCTGCACATACCATGCACAATGTGCTAATCCCCCCGGCCGTAACTGCAACCCCCCCAGGCCCTGGGTGTTTTGGTGCACAGGACTGAAAGGCTTCTGCTGCTCGTGCCGGGCGGCAGAGCCGGCCTGATCCCCCGCAGCAGGTGACGCTGACCTGAGCGGTCCCTGCTCAGGAGACTGGGAGGATGAGTGTGGCCCTGGCAGCTGCTGCCTGGCTGCTGTCTTTGGGGATTTGGTGGCCACATCACATAGCATCTTGGGACGGAGGCAGGAAGATGAGCACGCACCAGCACTGCGGCACAGGGCCATGAGCTCCGTTCCTGGCCCTGGCACTGACTCTGGTGCAGGGTTACCCCACCAGCACAGGTACGCCGGCCACACAGACAGCCCAGCCAGGCCAGAGCCTCTCTCAGCAGCATGAACTAGCCCACAAATGTGCTACACCACATCACGGAGACCTTCCATGGGCTGGCTGTGCAAGCAGACTGGTAGAGCACAGCCCGGCTCTAACCTGCAAAAATGCCAAAAAGCAGAAGCAACTGAGTTATTCTGACTTTTATTTCATTGCTTCTTAGTCCACACAGTCGGTATAAATCAGAAAAGCAAAGCAAAAAAAAAAAAATAGAACCAAAAAAAAAAAAACCAAAATGAAACAAAAACAACAACAGCAACACAGTGTCTGGAGTCCTCAGAAGGCAGCCTGGGGTCTGCGCAGGTGCCCGTTCAATTCATGGCCAGACACATCGCTGACGCACAGACAGAGGACAGACATCTGGCTCCGGCGGCGAAGACCGTCAGGGCTCCACCCAGAGCTGTTTCTGTTCCTCTTGACCACGGGGAGGGGGAAAAAGGAACCTCGGTTATAAATGCTTTATTAAAAATAATAGTAAGAGCAAGTCTAAGTACAAAAGCAGTTATAACTCATTTATATTACACAGAATTATTTCTCATTTCTAGCTTTGTTGTTTACCTCAAGATTGTTAACTGAATTTCCAGTGAATAAGGTTAAATGGCTAGCAATATAAGGAATGGTAAATAGATAGCACCATTTCATATATCTGGTATTGGATTTCATAGATATACTGGGTTTGCTTCTTTCTCATTGGTAGTTTAGCTCCACGGCAAGGATAAAGCACGTTTCACGGTCGGGAGCATCAGTGCCCCGGCAGCTCGGCTCGACTTGGCACGGCTCGGCACGGCACAAACCCCAGCCCCACCAGCACGGGCACCGGGGGCAACCCCAGAGCTGCGCGGGAGGAGGAGGACAGCCCGCGCTGGATTGCAGTTCAACCTAAGTGATTTAAAAGCCCGAATTCCCAGCGGGTGTGGTGGCAAGGCAGTGGGACTTAGGCACATAAGTCATTTAGGCACTTGGGGCAATCAAAGGCTTTGCTCCGAAATCCTTCAGACCTTTCGGAAGCGTCTGCCGTCAGACCTGGACGTGCACTTCAGTTACAAGGATCACAGCATGGCAGGAGTGGGGACCAACCCTCCGGCTGGCGTAAACAGGTGTGACTCTGATTTAGGCCAACCTAAAACCAGCCAGAGCCGGGGCTTTCTGATGGTTCGTTATGGGCTGGGATGGGAAAGGAGAGTTCAGGTCAAAGAGGATTTTGCATGAAAGAAAATCACCGCGCTCTTGTTACACTGTTAGGAGTAATAGTTCTTTAGGCACTTGCTTTAGGCTTTAAAACATAGCATATGGTCAACAAAAGCAAACAATACTATGTACATATATGTAAAAAGTGTTATAAATAGGTTTTTTAAACCATAGATACTATATACATCTTCAATTAACAAGTAACCCTTTGAGTGTTTCCTTTTGGGGTCGGTTGGGTTTGGTTTTGGTTTTTGTGGGAGGGTTTATTCCTTTTTTTTTTTTTTTTTTTTTTTTTTTT